TTTTTCAAAATAAATCATTTGAGCCAGGCATGGTAGGTAGCTCACACCTTTAACCCCAGCACTCAGGAGTCAGAGGCAGGCGGATCTCTCCACAGTTCCAGCATAACGGGTGATTAGATACCACAGGCTCTGCAAGGTCAGGACTGTGTCTGTCCTGTTTACATCCATCCCCAGGGAAGGCCCAGAGTGACACAAACCTCTCAGACATCCATAAGTCAGTCAGCATGGTGCTGCTTGCCTGGTTTCCGAGGCAGCAAGAGCTGTATGGCAACCCCATCTTAAGATGAAAGTGTGGCAGGCAGAGGGAGGCTGGTGCTGCGGTTCAGTTGGTAGAGTGCTGGCCTACCATACGTGAGGTTTGCTTTTCCTGGGGCAATTCTGGTTCCCAGAGGAAGCAAGACAACTGACTCCACTCTTTAGACCCTTGCTTCCCTTCCTGCGACAGCATCAAGCATGGGAGGGGCTGGGATACGGCCGACCAGACCTATGTGACAGCCGGAAATCTGCAGCCTGAGAGCCATCACACACAGTAAACACGCATGCGCGTGCGCACACAGAGACTAAGGCAGAGGCCTTTGAAGCCAGCCTGGACTACATGATGAGACGCTGTCTGCCTCAGAAAAAAAAAGAAAGAAAAAAAAGAAAAAGAGGGTCTTAGTCAGTGTTCTGTTGCTATGAGAGACACCACAGCCGCAGCAGCTCTTACAACGGAAAGCATTTAATTGGGGCTGGCTTACAGTTTAGAGGTTTCATCCCTTATCATCATGGCAGGGAGCATGGTGACATGCAGGAGAAGTGGTTGAAAGTTCTACATCACAATCAGCAGGAAGAGAGGAGACAACACTGGCCCTGATCTGAGCATTTGAAACCCCAAAGCCCCCCCAAAGTGACACACTTCCTCCAACAAGACCACAAGTGGCACTCCCTGTGGCCTACGGACCCAGTCCTGTTCAACCACCTGAGTGTTTTAGGTAACCATGGAGAGGAGAGGCAGCCTGAATTCTAAAGGTAAATGGGATGAGAAGCCATCCACCTGCAGGAGGTGGGGAAAGGATGGGTGCAGACATCAGATAGCATCGTACGAGGGATTCCTGTGAGCTCATGGTTATGAGAGAACAAATAAGCTGAGCTTTCTACCGAGGCAGGGACTGCAGGGTGGGACTGGGACTGAGTGAAGCCCTGAGTTCAGTCCCCAGCCCTGTGTCAACGAGGTGTGGCAGCACTCTGTTAGAATCCCAGCACGTGGAAGGTGGAGACAGGAGGATCAGGAGCTCGAGGTCTTTCTTTGCTACCCAGTAACTCACACTCCTGCCTCAGCCTCCCAAGTGCTGGGATGGCAGGCATCAGCACACTCGAATTTGGTCCCAGGGGACTTCACACACCTCGGTGCTGCCTAGCCAGGGTCCGTATTGATGACATTTCTTATTTTTAATCTCAGAATATCTGAAAAATGCAACTTAAGGGAAGAAGGGCTTATTCTGGCTCACAGTTCTCGGTGGTGCTGTCCAGCATGTCAATGAAGGCATGGCGGCAGGAGTGTTACCTCTTCACACTGCAGCCAGTCCACAGGTGCTCAGCTCAGTTTCTCCACTGTATTCAGTCAAGAGCCCCTAGCCCATAGGATGGTGTCCCCCACTTTCATGAACCCAGTCTAGAAACCCCTCATGGGTGTACCCAGAGTCTTGTCTCCTGGGTGACCCTAGCTAGATTTTATTAAACTGACTATGGTACCCATCATGGGGGCCTTACTCCCCGGGTCCATCTGCCCTCAGACCCAGCTCAGCAACCCAGGCATTGCACCGAATGCTCTAAGTGCAGAACTCATGGTCCAGACAGGGTCGTAGCATATCAAACCAGAGGCAGCCAATATAATGGAGCTAGTAAAAACTCCTTGGGATGAGTGGAACCATCTGGGGTAGGTGAGCAAGTGGATACGAAATGGTTTTCCTGGGAATTACACAAAGCAGAGAGAGAGAGCATCTCAGGAGGGATACAGAAACCCAGACAGAGTATGACCAGCAGATGGCAGTGTGTGTGTGTGTGTGTGTGTGTGTGTGTGTGTGTGTATGTGTGCGCGCACACATGCATGCATACTTTATGCACACCGAAGTCACTAAGGTCAGAACTGCACCTTGGATAATTCTGGCCACTTATTTGAAGGGAAGGTGCTAGGGAAGAAGCAGAGGCTGAAACACAGGACAAGCATCCATCATGATTTGCTGAGTCGAAAACTCAGAACCAAGTATTCCTGTGGCTGCAGTCGCTGTTTTATCTGGCCACTGAACATGGAACTCCACATATGACAGGCAAGGGCTCTACCACTGAACCACACGCCCAGCCCCACTGGGGGACCCTGAGGAGGCTCACCAACACTGGGCCACACCTGCAGCCCCTCACTGAACTAAACATGTATTATTGGGTCCAAGCTTTCTCATTTCCTGGTCTTTGGACCCACACTGTCTGGAACACCCAGATGTGGCCTTTACACGTCTCCCAACATTTCTCAGTCCCATCAATGGGGACTGGTGATCCCAGCACACACCTGTATTTCTAATCATCTACAATTTTGTACACATAGAAAAGGAGATTGAGGGTTGGAGAGATGGCTTCACACTCACACGCACTTGCCGCTCCTGCAGAGAGCCGGGTTCAGTCCCAGCATCTAGTTCCAAAGGACCCGATGCCCTCTTCTGGCCTCTGTGGGTACCACACACATGGTGCACATACACACATACAGATAAACACCCCTACACACAAAATAAATATCTCTCAAAGAAAGAAGAAGGGGATGAATGGATGTGTGTTGAATGGCTAACATGACTGTTCTCAGACTTTCCTTTCCTTGCTGTTTCTCCTCAAGAGGAGTACAGGTGACTCTCATCAATAAGAAAGAAAGGCTTGTGAATGCTTGTTCTGTTTGTGGTTCTGACTTGGTACCAGCCAGGCTTGGTTCCAGGGAGCATTCCCTGAGGAGCCTCTTCCCTCCACAGCCCCTCTCTCTGTCCCTCACACTTGAGGTCTCAGTCCAGGTTCTGACCACTGAACCTACTGCAGTGAGTGGGGGTTCCTGGGTTTCCTTCTTAAGGGCTACAGTGCAGGCGGGGTTAAGACTTAGTCTCACTGCATAGCTCAGGGTGACTTAAACTCACAATAACCCTCCTGCCTCAGACTCCTGTGTGCTAGAATTAATTATATGCATGAGTCACCAAGCTCAGCTCTTTCCCCTTTCGTCTCTCCCCTAAAACCACAGCATTTCTATGAACTGTGCTCAGGAAATGCAGTGTGGCATAGTGGCAGAGCACCTCCTTAACACAGTGAGGAGATGGAGGTGTGGCTCTGTGATCAGATGAACTGGAGAGCCCTCCAGGCCCTGGGTTCCCCAGCACCGCGAAAGAGAGGGTGCCCCAGACAGGAGTTCTCAGAAGGGATGATTTCAGACTCATTCTGCTGCAGAGGGAAGCTCTGCTCTCATAAGCCAGAGCCACACAGCCACGTGGGCACCTTCCACCCATGGAGGATACAGCCAGGACATCCTCCAGAGCAGGCAACCCTAATCTGGGCATGGAAGGGTTGGGGAACTGACCAGGAGAGGAACCGGGCTAGCACTTGGAGGCCAAGGAGGAGTGAGTAGTTCTGGGGAGCTAGAACGTGTGATAAAGAGAACATAGAGGGGAAGGAAGGTGATGGCAATGGAGGATGCTGTGCTTGAAGCCAGCACCATGGCTCTTACAGGGATCCTGTTAGGCTAGGATGCAGGGTGCCTGCCTAGCATGCAGTAAGCCCAGGGTTCCAGCCCCAGCACTGCATAATGCAAATGCTGGTGAATGCCTGTAATCTCTACATGAGGTAAGGGAAGGCAGGAGGATTTGGAATTCATGTTATCACACCCCGTGATATCTTGATATCAAGGCCAACCTAGGCTACATGAGACCGTCTCATTTTTTTTTTTAAGTTTGAGACATCAGTGTCCCTGTCCTCTATGTGTGCAGCTTGTATGATGTAGAATAGTGTAGTAAGCTGAGCAGGGCGGGGACAGGTCTGTGGGTCTAAACACCCTTGCAGGGTTTGGTGGGGGGATGATGGGGGAGAGGAACTGGGATGGGAATGGAGAGGACGAGATACATAAAGTGCAGACGCTGAGGGTGGGCCTCCATGGCTGAAGCCCTTGAGCTGCGAGCTGCAGGGGGCACTTCAGTGAAGGCTTTGGGGTAGTAGCCAGGGCTCCGCTCCCTGGGGTGGACTGCCCTCCAAGCCCATGTGAGCAACAGTGGGGACCCTGAGGTGAGGAGAAGCCAGTGCTCAAGGGATTCCAACAGCCTGAGGCTGTGCACGGTCTCATGTGGCTAACAGCCTCTGCCTCCTCCCTTCTTGGGGGAACTGACCTTGGACAATGGTCAGGTGACAGGTCCCGTAGCCAAGAAGAGGAGGCAGGTCTGGGAGAGAGGACCAGACGGGGCTGTTCATTACCTCCACAGCCTCCATTTCCGTATCTGTTCATACAAACACACAAGAGGGAGGGAGGCCCGCCTAGCTCAGCACCCAGCAAGCCTCCTCCATGTGGAAGCAGAGGAATTACAGCACTGTTGAAGGGTGAAAAACAGGCATGGAGGCACAGGCCTGTCTTCCCAGTTAGTCAGAAGCCCGGAGTACCAAGATCAAGTTTAAGGCCAGTCTCAGGAACTTAATGAAACCCTGTCTCCAAAGAAAAAGTAAAAAGACAGCTGGGGAATGAAGGTTAATGGTAGAGCCCCTGCCAAGAACCCCCCAGTGAGGGGCTGGGGCGTGGCTCAGTGTAGATCACCCGATTACAGGTCCGTGTCCCCCCGCCCCCCCTGAGGACTATGCAGCTCAGTCACAGAGCTCCTGTCCAGCATCTTGGAGGCCCTGGGTCTTGTCATTAGCAACACATACTGACTGCTGAGTCTCATTCTCCTGCTGTGAACTGGAGAGGTCTGCTGCTCCCAAGCTTGTCAGCCGCACTGACACTAGTCTCCCCGCAGGTGATCCGCACAGACACATTCAAGCACCTCCGGCACCTGGAGATCCTGCAGCTGAGCAAGAACCTGGTGCGCAAGATCGAGGTGGGCGCCTTCAATGGGCTGCCTAGTCTCAACACACTGGAGCTCTTCGACAATCGGCTGACCACGGTGCCCACACAGGCCTTCGAGTACCTGTCCAAGCTCCGGGAGCTGTGGCTGCGCAACAACCCCATCGAAAGCATCCCTTCCTATGCCTTCAACCGCGTGCCCTCACTGCGCCGCCTGGACCTGGGCGAGCTCAAGCGGCTGGAGTACATATCAGAGGCGGCCTTCGAGGGGCTGGTGAACCTGCGCTACCTCAATCTGGGCATGTGCAACCTCAAGGACATCCCCAACCTCACAGCGCTTGTGCGCCTGGAGGAGTTGGAGCTGTCGGGGAACCGGCTGGACCTAATTCGCCCCGGCTCCTTCCAGGGCCTCACCAGCCTGCGCAAGCTGTGGCTGATGCACGCCCAAGTGGCCACCATCGAGCGAAACGCCTTTGACGACCTCAAGTCGCTGGAGGAGCTAAACCTGTCCCACAACAACCTGATGTCGCTGCCACACGACCTTTTCACGCCCCTGCACCGCCTGGAGCGCGTCCACCTCAACCACAACCCTTGGCACTGCAACTGTGATGTGCTGTGGCTCAGCTGGTGGCTGAAGGAGACGGTACCCAGCAACACCACATGCTGCGCACGCTGCCACGCGCCCGCTGGCCTCAAGGGCCGCTACATCGGTGAGCTGGACCAGTCACACTTCACCTGCTACGCCCCAGTCATCGTGGAGCCACCCACAGACCTCAATGTCACCGAGGGTATGGCGGCTGAACTCAAGTGCCGTACAGGCACATCCATGACCTCCGTCAACTGGCTGACACCTAACGGCACGCTCATGACGCATGGTTCCTACCGCGTGCGCATCTCGGTCCTGCACGACGGCACGCTCAACTTCACCAATGTCACCGTGCAGGACACGGGCCAGTACACATGCATGGTCACAAACTCGGCCGGAAACACCACTGCCTCAGCCACGCTTAATGTATCGGCTGTGGACCCAGTGGCTGCAGGGGGGGCTGGGGGCGGGGGTCCCGGGGGTGGGGCCGGTGCCGGGGGCGCGGGTGGCTACACTTACTTCACCACGGTGACCGTGGAGACGCTGGAGACACAGCCGGGTGAGGAGTCCCAGCAGCCCCGCGGTACAGAAAAGGAACCTCCGGGGCCCACGACTGACGGAGCGTGGGGCGGTGGCCGGCCTGATGCCGCAGCCCCGGCCTCGGCGTCCACCACAGCGCCGGCCCCACGTTCCTCGCGGCCCACGGAGAAGGCGTTCACGGTGCCCATCACGGACGTAACGGAGAACGCGCTTAAGGATCTAGACGACGTCATGAAGACCACCAAAATAATCATTGGCTGCTTCGTGGCCATCACCTTCATGGCCGCTGTGATGCTGGTGGCCTTCTACAAGCTGCGCAAGCAGCATCAGCTGCACAAGCACCACGGTCCCACGCGCACTGTGGAGATCATCAATGTGGAGGACGAGCTTCCTGCCGCCTCCGCCGTGTCGGTGGCCGCGGCCGCTGCGGTAGCCGGAGGCGCGGGCGTGGGCGGGGACAGCCACCTGGCCCTTCCGGCGCTGGAGCGAGACCACCTCAACCACCACCACTACGTGGCCGCCGCCTTCAAGGCACACTACGGCGGCAACCCAGGAGGCGGGTGCGGGGCCAAGGGCCCCGGCCTCAACTCCATCCACGAACCTCTGCTCTTCAAGAGTGGCTCCAAGGAGAATGTGCAAGAGACACAAATCTAAACCTAGGCAGGCAGGGACGCGGGACGCCTGCCGGGGATGCTCCTGCTTGCCGCGCAGCCCGGCGGCACCCGCCATCCAGCAACAGGAAAGGACCTGGAGATCTGGAGAGGTGGCCCCGCCCTCCGCCTTGCCGCGTCCTCTGCCCACCTGCCCTGCCCGCCACCTTCCAGGGGAGAGGAGCTTCTTCGAGGGGTACCCTTTCCCCTCATCCCAACCCTCCTTTTATGGCTCTTTCTTTTTTCTTTCTTTTTTGCAGTTTGACGCCTGTCCTTCCCTCCTACTCCTCCACACTCAAAACACAAGAGACAGACAACTTCACCAGAGCCCAGGGGGCAACTCCGACAGTGTCCCCAACAGCGAGCTCCACTCGCGGCCCTGGTCGGCCCCACCCGCCCCACAGACTCTTTTGATACTGAAGGGAGGTTTGCGTCAATCACTACCTGCTCTGTAATTACTTTAAAAAAAAAAAAACATGGAAAAAGTAAAAAAAAAAATAATTTTTTTTTTGGTCATGAAAGTATTGAAAACAAACAGAGCACAAAGCCACGGTGGGTGGGACCAGCGATGTTGTGCTCTCAGAAGGGGGAGTGGGCACCCCAAAATTAGAGATCTGGGACTCTCCATTCCCAAGATCCCAGAGAGGAACGGCTCACCCAGCACACAGCAGTGCTGTTCCATCTTCCTGGCTGCCCTTCCCGGAATGTGCTGGGGACTTGGCCTCCGCCCTTCTTGTATGTGTCTCTGTCTCCATCTCTGGCTGTCTTTCTGTTCTCACTCTGGTGCCTGCCACCACCACCACCATCACCACACACACACACACACACACACACAGAGAGAGAGAGAGAGAGAGAGAGAAACCCCGAAGGGACCCTAGAACTGCAAAACTCCACAGATGCCTGGGACAACAGAACTGTGGGATATTGGGGTTCTGAGGACTGCAAGGCCAAGGTCATGGTGCTGGCAGGGTTGGGCTCCGTCCCAGCCTCCCCCAGTTACTGGGGCCATGCATGTGTGACCCCCCAGAGCAGGAATGCATCACAGTTTATGGGTTTGCTCCACAGCAGAGCCTCCCCAAGGGGACCATCTGCAGACAGCTGTTCAGGAAGGCCACAACTGATGATCTGAAAGTCAGGGCCGCCACAGAACTTTCTGGGTGACATTCTTGAGCAAGTGGTTGTGTCCCCATAGGAGAGGCTCCTCCATTTCACACATATCCCTGGCTAGTCAGGAGACAGTTTGTACAAGGGAAGCGCACACAAAATAAGCAGGCCTGGGCCACATGTAAACACATTGTAAGCAGACCAGGGCGCATGGAGGGCAGTCCCCTGCAGGGTCTGCAATCACCAAGGAGGAAACTATGCAGCTAGGCCAGGTCTGGGTGCTGCTGGAGTAGGACATCAGTGACCCCTCAGAATGGCCCACGTGTCCAAGGTTCAGCCTCCAGAGAGCTAGGGTTGCCCAGGAAGGCAGAGAGGTAGCCAGAGCCACCATACAGCACACGGACACCTGGCCTGTGGGCACTGAAGGCCCCAGGGTGCACACCTTCACCAGAGATGGGAGAGCAGGAGCCCCCAACTCCTTTCACCCTGTGTGCCTGCCCCCTTCTCCTTGTCCCCACCTCTTCCCAATGATTCTACCACCACTGTATCTTGTCCTCTCCTCTACCCCACCCCAGCGCTAAGTGGCTTCTTTATCTGACAACCGTCAGGCATCTGGCCCTATCTCCCTGTCCAGCTCTGTGCTGATGAAGGCCGGGACAGGACTGTTGCGCATGCACTTTGGGTTCTCTCTCCATTTTCCTGCCTTCTCCGCAGCCATCTCGGCTAGGATCCTGGTTGCCATGACAACACTGCGGCTGTACCAGGTGGCAATGGGGGCAGGGAGCTGGCCTGCTGCAGCCTGCTATGTCCCATGCCAAGCCTGCCAGGCAGTGGCTGGACTCATCCTGGGAGCACTTAGGAACTCCCCCAGCTATGCAGACCCCTTCTTCATGGATGGGACATGGGGAGGGAAGGGGGAGGCAGAGGACCAGGAATACAAAGAGGCAGGAGACTGGAGGGGGGGGCAGATGAGTGGTGAACAGCACAGTTAAGGTGAGCTCAAGGGCAATCAGACACTGGGGTGGGGGCAGGACTCTGACCAGCCCTGAGGGCATGGAGGACCACAGGACACTCCAGCCAGACTTTTCCACTTGGGCCTTAGGTCAAAAAAGAGATCAAGAGATCTGCAAGGGGCCTGGTGGTTCCTGCCCCCAGTTCTTCCCCTATCCCAAGCAAAATGCAGTTTCCATGACAACCTGCTGGCCAGCCTGAGGAGGGGGGACTGAACATGAGGGATGAAGAGTGTGGGCTGCACAGGAGGCCGTGGAGTGGGTAGTGGGCACACAGGGCCACACAGGCCTAACTCCCAAGCCACCATGCCAGCCAGCACAGGAGAGTAGAAGGCTCACAGAGAAGCACCCCACCCCCACCATCCTGCTCCCTCCCTCTGGCTCCAGTGGAAAGGGTCAAGGGTCAAACTCCAAAGATCATTCACTGCCTCTGCCTGGTAGAGGCAGCCTAGCACTGAAGAATCTCCCACAGCAGGACATCACCATCACTGTCACCGTCACCGTCACCATGCTCAAGGCCAGAGCCACCAGGATGGTCCCTGGAGGCCCTCTGAGGGTGGGGGTGGTAGGTTATGGCCGCCTAGGTGAGTCAGAACTAGCCTGGGGCCTCCTTTTATGGCCCCATCCCTAAAGTCCAGAAACATCTCTGTTCCTACATCTTTCACTGCAATCTGCCAGCCCAGCCTGCCTTCTGCCCTGCCCGCTCACTGGGCGTTCCTCTCTCCAGTCCTGTCCATCGTGTGTGTGTGTGTGTGTGTGTGTGTGTGTGTGTGTGTGTGTGTGAGACGGTATCTGCCTCTCTCTAGGTTCCTGTCTTCTCTTGGGTCTCTGAGGTATCTCTCTCTCCTATCTCTCCTCTTGATCTCATCTCTATATGCCTCTTTCTGGGTCTCTGTCTTGTCTCTGTGTGTCTCTCTAGGTCTCTGTCCCCCTTCCCTTTCTTTGGTTCTCTCTCTCAGGCTCTCTTTCTCTCTCTGGGATTCTGTCTGTCTCCCCACCCCATATCTGTCTTCCCTTCTCTCTCCCCATCCCTCTATCCAGCTCCCTGAGTGGGAGAGGAATCTCTACTTTCCTTGGATCTCTAGCCTTCTCCTTCTCCGCAGGACAATCCCTTGTGTCCCGCCTTCTGGCTCAGGGATCCGAACTGGGCCTAGAACTTGTTTTTGTATGGAACCGTGACCCTGGACGAATGGCAGGGAGCGTGCCCCCTGCCCTGCAGCTCCAAGACCTTACTGCTCTTGAGGAAAGGTCAGTGGCCCACAGCACAGTAGGAGCCTTCCCAAAGTTTCTATCTGCCTCCCATCTCTGCGGCTCAGAGCACATAAACTCCAACACACCCACCATCCCATTTTCCTCCAAACCCTGAGGAGACCTGATTCTTCTCCAAGGCCCTCCATGCCTCCTCTTCCAGGCACCCTGACCTTGTGGTAGAAGTGGCTCATCCAAATATAATCCACGAATCAGGGGTACAGATCCTGCGCCACGCTAACCTCCTGGTGAGCCTCCTCACGCCTCAGCAAGTCCTTTTCTGTGTCTGCTGTATCCTGCCCTACTGCAGTGTTCTGTCTTGGCCTTCCCTCTCTACCATCCAAGGTGGGGTCTCCCTCAGCTCTGGCTGACCAGACCACAGAGCAGCGGCTCATGGAGGCTTCAAACCACTGGGGTCACACTGTGTTTGTGGCCCGAGGAGCCCTGTGGGGGTCTGAAGACATTAGGAGATTGGATGAAGCTGGAGGCCTCCAGGTGAGAACCATCTTGGCTGCAACCGAGGGAACATGTAAGAGTCTCAGACTCCTGACCCTACCATTGCTTCCAGAGCCTTCGAGTCACCATGGCCACACATCCTGACGGCTTCCGGCTGGAGGGATCCCTGGCTGCAGCACACAGCAGTGGACCCCGCACAGTGCTCTACGAGGGTCCTGTGCGTGGACTCTGCCCCTTGGCCCCCCGAAACTCTAACACCATGGCAGCCGCTGCCCTGGCTGCCCCCAGTCTAGGCTTCGACGGTGTCATTGGGGTGCTTGTGGCTGACCTTAGGTGAGCAAAGGAAGTAGGTGGCCCAGCTGTGTCAGGCCAGATGGACTAACTGCCCTTCCTTCTCTGCCGGTCGCAGCCTCACAGACATGCACGTGGTGGACGTGGAGCTGAACGGCCCCCCAGGCCCCCCAGGCCACAGCTTCACCGTGCACACCCACAGGGAGAACCCAGCCCAGCCTGGAGCTGTCACCGGCTCTGCTACTGTCACAGCCTTCTGGCACAGCCTACTGGGTGCGGTCAGGCCCCTCCAAGGGTCCCCTGGCCTTTGTATTCTGCAGAACTAACATGTTGGTGTCCCACCCGTTTTCTGTCTTTGCCCACCGTTAGTTTTCACCCCCAGGCTTTCTGGGTCTCTCCCCAGCTCAACTTCTCTGAGTCTCAGAGACTCTTGTCTCTCCACTCACACCTCACGCCTCTTTCTGGGTATCCTCTTTGGGTTATACCACACTACCATTTCCAAAGCCCACGGTCGCCATGGCCGCCTGGGTGTCTGTGTCGTCATTCTAGTCTTTCATTCTCCCCACAGGCTGCTGCCAGCTCCCCTCCAGACCTGGGATCCACCTCTGCTGACAAGTCTTCTCCCCCACTGCCCTTGCTGTCACCTCGACCACTATGTGTCTCAGTAAACATCAGAATTCTGCCCGCTGTTCTCTCTGGCCTCTTTGGTTCCTTTCCCCTAAATTACATCACTCAACACATCGTATATGACGGCATAGCTGCGAGTTCATGAACAAACACACACAAACCAACTTCCTGGAAGCTATCGCGAGAGCCATAGTTACTACATTTCCCAGAAACCTCTAGGCAGCAGTGGCTTTGGGGGCTACACGAAAACTGGCTGCGTTCTCCGACGGGAATTGTAGTTCCGCGCTGGAGCGCGTCCCCGGTGGACTTCCGGTCTGTGCGTCCGATTTAGGCGCCCTGTGGAGAACTTCGGGAATCGCAGTCCGGTGCGCACAGGTCTCCGGGAGCTGTAGTCCGTCCCGTCTGCCCAGTCAGCGTGGTACCACCCGACGGCTGCCCAGGGAATGCGAAAACGGTCGGTCCCAGGGAGCAAGAGAGGCTGACGGGGTGAGGGCCGGGAGAGTCCCATACGGAGGCGGGTGGGAACAGGCCTGGTTGCCAGGTGACAGGAAGGGGGAGCTCCTGTTGCTTAGTGACTGGGACAGGGCCTTGTTGCCAGGTGACGGGAGAGAGCACTGGTTATTGACGAGGGGAAGTCTTCCGTTGCCAGGCGACCAGAAGAGACCCTGTTACCCAGAGACGAGAAAGGAGGGGTCCTCCATTACTAGGTGATCAGAAAAATGGACCGGGTTACCAAGAGGGTGGGGTGTCCTCTGTTGCTTGGGAACCAAAAAGTATTGTTTCCTAGGGATAGAAGGGGCGATACTCCGTTGCTAGGTTACGGTGATTCGTACCTTTTTGCTTAGAGACATGTAGTGGGGATGGGTCTCTATTACCAAGTGAGTAGGAAAGATTCTTTTCCCCCTAGGACTGGGGCATGAAGATGCCTCTAGTTCTGGAGACATGTTGGGTAGCAGGGTCAGGGACCTCGTGTGCTCCCAAGCTGGCCCCAGTGCCCATCTCAGTGGCCGTTGATCCAGCTCCTGGGTCCCTAACACCTTCTCCTTGTTCCACCCCTGCAGGAGCCGAGGAGGGTATGTCTCAGGCCCCGGAAGCGCGGCCGAGCCCACCCTCAGTGTACCACGAACGGCAGCGACTAGAGCTGTGCGCCGTCCACGCTCTCAACAACGTCCTCCAACAGCGGCTTTTTAGCCAGGAGGCTGCAGACGAGATCTGCAAGAGGTGACAACCACAGGTCCTGGCCCTGGAAAAGCAGGACTGAGAGGCAGGAGAGCCTGCTTGGGGCACTAGCAGGGCCAGGGCTCAGATCCCAGAGCTGTTGCCTGCTCCTCCACCTGCCGCTTCCCACAGCCTGCCCCCAGCTGTCTGTGTTTCTCCTCCTGTCCATCCTATACACAGCCCCTCCTCTGCTTCTGTCCCTCTGTGGGTCCCCCGCACTCCTAGAGAATAGCCCAGACCCTTCAGCCTGAACCCCAAGACTTTGGGTGCTCTAGCCCTTGCCTTCCTCTCTGCAGCTTCATCCTTCATGGCTCTCTTTGGCCCCAAATGGCCCCGCTGTGGTGTCTCTGAACTTTTACACAGGCTGCTCCCCCGTTACCACACGGTATTCTCTTTCTTAGTCACCTAGGTGCCCCTCAGAATTTCTACCATCACTTTAAGAAACTCTCTTCCTATTCCCACTTATACACCTCACGGTCCTTCTGCGGACACACAGACACCCCAGCCTGCTACACATGCCCACATGCAGAGGCAGCCCTTCTGTCTTCTCACTGCCGCTCACCCAGCATCCTAAACTGTAGATTTGTGTTAGAAGACACCCATCTGTAGATTACTCTGTAAGACCCTGCTCTCCCCTGCAGCCAACTCTTTGATGCCGAGGGCCTGCTGAACAGCTAGAGCTGAGGCAGATGTGATGAAGAGAGGGGCTGGGGATACAGTTCTTCCATGTCACTGCTCTCCAGAACAACATGGCACATCTGGAAAGAGCTAGAGGGGAGGCTTGGGCACAAGGGACAGCTGGGGATAGGTAGCTGGCCATGCAAGCCCACTTGGGCACCCTGAGAGCCGTGAACGAGCAGAGAAGTGCATTACCAAATGAAAGGCGCACTGGTCAGATCTGGTGACAGGAACGGCATTGTCATTCGGGGGCTCTGATGACTCCTCTCCCAGAAGAAAGGACATCTGAAGCCAGTCTGGAAAGAGGCCATGATGAGAAGGGTGGATGGGAGGGCAGGGACTTTGTCATGAGAGGTGGGAGGAGGAGAGGGGCAAGGCAGCCCAAGGCTCCTGGAGGTGGGCTCTGGGGAGACTAGACACTTGGAAGCCTTCTGAGTGAAAAAAGACAAAAGATCTATCCAGGCTGAGAGTACAGGTATTAGGGATGAGAGGGAAAACAGGACTTGGGGTCCGATAAATTGTGCAGGGCTTGAAGAGAGAAGAGTCAGCGGTCAGGTTCTGGGTTTCTGCTGTGTGGGAAGGTGGAGGCCTTTCCAGAATTTCCAACTTTGGCTCTGCTCCCCCTTCCCCCCCAGGCTAGCCCCAGACTCCCGGCTGAACCCCCATCGCAGCCTCCTGGGCACCGGCAACTATGATGTCAACGTGATCATGGCTGCCCTGCAGGGCCTGGGCCTGGCCGCTGTGTGGTGGGACAGGAGGAGGTAGGGCCTATACTGTGGGCTGCACTGGCCCTGCGTGTGGGGGATGAAGCAGGGGGTGGCTTAATAGTAGATGGGGGAGGTTCTTTCCAGGGGAAAACTGGTGGCTGTGGCAGACGGGACTAACTGAATGACGGGCTAAACCGATAAACTTGGTGCCAGTCAAAAGGGTGGTGTGAGGTCCACATGAGGGGCTCGTGGCTGAGGTGGGGAAAGACGGAAATTAGGTTACAAATAGTGAGACCAGCCTGTTGACCCGAGGCAAACCCAATGGAAGCCGCCCTGGGCTGTGCATGGAGACCCTGACTCAAAGGGGCAAACAACAAACAGTTGAGGGCTGGGGCTTCACTGACAGAGGCTTACCCAGCATGTACGAGGCTGGGGTTCCATCCCCAGCACCCCATGAACTGCTGTAGTGGGCACACCTGGGATGCCGAGACCCTGTCTAAACAAGACCAAGGCTGGGCTCGGCAGGTAGGAAGTAACGGGTGGGTGGGTGGATGGGTGGCCATTCTGGGAGAGGAAGCAGGATCCAAGGGCCTCTGGGGCTCCATGCTGTGTCCCTCCCCTCCCCAGACCACTGTGCCAGCTGGCCCTCCCCAAAGTGCTAGGCCTGATCCTGAACCTGCCCTCTCCTGTGTCACTGGGGCTGCTGTCCCTGCCTCTGCGCCGCCGGCACTGGGTGGCCCTGCGCCAGGTGAATGGCATCTACTATAACCTGGACTCCAAGCTTCGGGCACCTGAAGCCCTGGGGAACGAGGATGGTGTCAGGTGAGCGGTGAAGGAAGTGGCCGGTTGAGACCAGTGCTGGAACTCCCCCGCAAGGAGATGGGCCTGCCTGCACTGTCCAGATCTGTCTCCCCTGTCTCCCTTCAGGGCCTTCCTGGCAGCTGCCCTGGCCCAGGGCCTGTGCGAGGTGCTACTGGTGGTGACCAAGGAGGTGGAGGAGGCCGGCTGCTGGCTGAACACAAGCTGACCCAGTGCCTGTGACCAGCTGCCTGCTACCACGGTCCTGAGTGTCCAGTGCCTAGGAGGGGCCTGTACCCTGACCAAAGTCCCCACTCCCCCCACCATTGCTGCTGCCTCAATAAATCTGCTTTTTTGTTATCTATGCTTGAGCTACAGGGGATTGCTCTCGTCACAGTGCCCAGAGGGAGACAGAAACCAAAAACCAACATGTCGCCTCCCAAAATCAGTAGGGAGACATATGATGGAGTAGGGATCACTCCTCTTTAAGGTTTAGAACATCGGTGAGGAAGTAGTTCCCAAAGATGACCCTGGACCCTGACTTCCCAGGTGGCGGGGGAGGGAGAGGACGCTGGGCATTAGATAGGACTGGTTATAACCAGCCTCTATCAAGAACAACTGGACTTGAAGGGTGACCGAGTGAAGTCACATGGCCCTAAAAAGCAGGAGGTCAGCCCAGTGGAGCCCATTTAGAATTTCTGACCCCCTCCCCCCACAGGGGGAGCCAGCATGAAGCTGTGACTAGGGCTTGGGGAAGGGGGCTCCTCACTGCAACCTCAGGAAAGTGCCACGGCAGCTGCCATTTTCCCACAGTGTGCTGGGCGGCCTGAAAAGGTCTGGTTGGCTCAGCCCTGAAGGAGGTGGGGGACAGACTGAAGCAGAAGAGGGGTGTCTCCATCGCAGTCACCCAAGCCGACCTTCTCAAGAGGCCGCCACACTTGGAGGGCCCCAGATGGCCCAGAGTGCCGCGGCCTGCTGTGGGCACCAGTTATTTGGGGAGGTGTTGACAGACAGGCCTATCTGGGACAGAGGGGAAGAGGGCTGGAGCCAGCAGGAGGGCCCAGATAGGAGCACCCAGAAAAAGCAGTGGAGGTGATGGCATGAGCCCCGGGGGTGGGGGGGGGGTGGGGGAGGGCAGGACCTGGCCCTGAGCCCTGGGGCGTGCAGGAAACAAAGGGGGAGATTGTCCTCCACTGATGGGACAGGGACCTAGGATATTGATTACTGGTGAGGAAGGGCCCACACTGGGGTATGACAGCCATTCTTGGTAATGAATTCATCTGGGGATGAAGGCCACATCCTGGCACCATGCTAGTAAAAGGCAGAGGCTCAAGCTGCTGCTATCTGGTCCCCAAGATTTCTGAGGTCAAAGGACAGGTTGTAAAGTAAAAACCAAGGCAGCATGTGAAAGACACATACTGGGTTGCTGGAGTACCCCACCCTGGAGCCCAGCACCCTTGGCCCCTGGCCTCTGTCATCTCCAACCTCCTATCCCCTCCCTGGGTCTCCTCTCTGTCTGTCCTTCTCCATGTGTCCAAGTTAACATTTCCACCCCCCCATGTGTGTGTGTGTGTGCATGCGTGTGTGTGCTCCCTTTCCCCATTTTTGAGACACTTGCCATGATCCTCCTGTCTCAGCCACCAAGTGCTGGAATTAAAAGTGTGTGCCAGCACACCGCACTTCCCCATCTCTTTCCATGGCTCTGAAGTCTCTCTGGATCTCTGGGCCTCTTAACCTTCTCTCTGCCTCTATCTCCCTCTTTCCTGTCCACCCCCACCCCCGCCCCACCTGTCGCCTGTCCAGTCCCGGTTAGGGGACAGCTGCCAGGACTCCCTGGGTGTTTCTATTCTCGGCCTGAGTGGTGCAGCCTGTGACATCCCAGGTGCCCCCTCAGCTGTGACCAAATAAGGTATTAAATGAGGAGCCTGTGGAGGAAAAGGATGCAGGCCTGCACACCGATTCAATGCCTCCTGTTTGCCCTTAGTGCTGACTTGGTGCCCCACTGACACCCCACTTCTGAGGAGAGCACCCTTGGCCCTAACATGCCTCATCAGGCCTGTTCTGAAGCTAGTGGTTCCCTGATACCCATGGACATGGGGTTCCATGCTGACCTCCAGGGGCCTGAGGAACAGGCTATAGAAAGGGGAGGGTTGGTACTCCAGCTGCCCGTACAGCTGCTCCTGGCTGTGCTGACAGCTGAGGCTCAATTTAGCTGCAAGGCCAGGATCTGGCCAGATAAGGTGTGGATAAGGACAGGACACGCCCCTATGGTGCCCCTTAAATTGCAGGGCTTGGGCTGGGGTTGGGGGCGCAGACACCAAGGCCAGGTGAGAGGGTCCTGCTGCCGTGGTGGCCCACAAGGCACCCGGTGTCTCTCCACCTGTCCGCTTGCCTCTCCTGACTCTGTTCCTTCTACCTTCCACAGCCTCCATCCTCTCTCTCCTTCTGTGCCTCTCTCCGCCTGTTTCTTCATCTCTGCCCCCCAACATTTCATCTGTCTCTGTCTCTGTTTTTCTCTGCCTCCATTTCTGTATCTGATTTCCCTGTGTTCTCCTTGTGCCTGTGTTTCTCCATCTGTCTCTCTGATTTTCTCTCCTTTCATCTCTGCCTCTCAGCCCAATATTCCATCTTTCACATTTCCTCAATGTGTCTGTTTCTCTCTTGACCTGATTCCCTTCTCTATCTCTTCCCATAACTGTCTCTGTCTCTCAGCTTTCCCTTTCTCTGCCTCTCTCCATCTCTCCGTCTCTCTGCCCCTCTCTAATTCTCTGTCTCTCTGCCTCCATTTCTGTATCTGACTTTCCCTGTGTTCTTCTGCCTGTGTTTCTCCGTCTCTCTGCCTCTCTCTCTCCGTCTCTCTGCCTCTCTCCATCTCTCCGTCTCCCTGCCTCTCTCTCTCCGTCTCTCTGCCTCTCTCCATCTCTCTGCCTCTCTCTCCGTCTCTCTGCCTCTCTCCATCTCTCCGTCTCCCTGCCTCTCTCTCTCCGTCTCCCTGCCTCTCTCCATCTCTCTCCGTCTGTCTCTCTCCATCTCTCCGTCTCTGTCTCTCTCCATCTCTCCGTCTCTCTGCCTCTCTCCATCTCTCCATCTCTCTGCCTCTCTCCATCTCTCCGTCTCTCTGTCTCTCTCCATCTCTCCGTCTCTCTGTCTCTCTCCATCTCTCCGTCTCTCTGTCTCTCTCCATCTCTCCGTCTCTCTGTCTCTCCCCATCTCTCCGTCTCTCTGCCTCTCCCCATCTCTCTGTCTCTCTGCCTCTCTCTAATTCTCCATCTCTGTCTCTGCCTACTTGTTCCCCAAGCCCTTCCTTCCCATCTTCTATTTTCAGGTCTCTTCCCCCCTCTCCACTGGGGCCGAAGCCCTGTGTTCTCTCCTGAATAAAGCTGGCTCTGTCCTGGCTCCCCCTTCTCTGCCTCCGTCTGTCCTTCCCCTTCTGCCCCCACCCACGCCCAGCCCAGATCCTGAGTGAGGATCACAGTACCGGCAGTAGGGTCATCCCTCCTGCCCACACAACAGGAGAGAAGGGTGGAGAGCAGGGACTCAAGACCAGAGAGGCAGGGAGGATGGTCAGCACAGATGGGGGACAGTGGGTCATGGGACGCAGAGGCCAGGCAGCACCCCACACCCAGCAGACCGGTCTCCCCTCCCCCTCAGACCAGGCTGTGCCAGCGCCAGGACAATGCACCCTTGTCTCCTGTCCTGACAGCTGGGGGTTCCTGCCTCCAGCTCCTTCAGAGAAGTCAGCGGCTTTCAGCTCCGCCCTGGGCGGGGGAGTGGCCCTGAGGACCAGGCTTGTGGGGGCAGCGGCTGTCTCCAGCCTCCTGTCTCTGCCTGAGCTCCAGAGTCCTTCTGGTCACCCTGGTGTTTGTTCACCCTTTCCACCCTCTGCTGTCCCCTCCACTGTCTCCTTTCTCACCATCCAGTTTGCCTGGCCCCTCCCCACTAGGAATCTTGTGAGCTCCTGCTGGGTATGAGGCCCCAGACTCTGGTCTCCCTCCCTCCCACCCTTTGTTGTCTCTCGTCGGCCTCCTCCATTTCTGCGTTCCTGGGAGAAGGAATGAACACACTTTGAAACCCTATTGTCACTAGCCCTCTCTTATCTCGGCACTCTCCCCTCCCCCACCCCCTCCTCTCTGTTTTCTCTACTGTTCAAGACAAAGAATACATTTATTGAATACTACTATATCCTTCTCTCCTGTCCTTCACTCCCCACTGACAACGGTGTCTGCCAGCCTCTGCTTCCTGCTTCTCTCCGCCTGGGGAATGCAGACATTTACTGGGCACCAGCAGTGTGCTAAGCTTTTAATAAACACTTCCTTCCTTTTCCCTTCCTCTCGCCTGTCATTTGCTGCCTGCTGACTCCCCTATTCCGGGAAAGGGCGCTAATTGAGCACGTGTGACAAGCCGTCCACACCTATGGCTCTCTTGGCTCTCTCTCCTCTGCAGAGAAAGCTGCAACTACTCCAGGCAGAGGGGTGGGGTGCCCTTTGAGAGTACAGCTAGGGTAGAAGGGGCCAGCATGCTTCAGGTGCTAAGGCAGGGACCAGCACTCACGTTCAGGAACAAATGAGGAAACTAAGGCTGTTGGAAAGAGGGTGCGCCCCCTACAGCTGGCCTGGGTCCCTGCCCAATGTGATTCTCATTCTGTCTCTATCATGGTCACATACCATCTTCCTTTGACCTCTTGCCATCTTTGCCCACATGGTATGGCTGCACACACAATACAGTACCTGAGGCTGGGGTTCTCCTGTCTCACCCAACTCTGGCACTGAAGCCTCCTCCCAGGCCAGCCATCTGTTTCTTTCTCTCCTCCCCTTCCTCCATGCCTTCCTTCTCTTTCTCCTTCTTTTCCTCCTCCAACTTCTTCCTCTCTTCTCCGTCTCCAGCTTTCTTCTTCCTCTCCATTTCTTCTCCACCTGTACCTCCATCTCCTTTCCTTCCTCCTCCTCTTCCATATCCTCTGCCGCCTTTTCTCCTCCATTTCCTCCTTCCCCTGTCCTGTCTTTCTCCATATTCTTCTGCTTCTCCTTTTTCTCCTACATCTTCTCTTCCTGCATCTCTCCTCCATCTCATCTCTCTCTCCCTCCATTTTCTCATGCCCCTTCCTTTCTACTTCCCTGATGCTTCTCCTACTCTACCCCTTCTCCTCCTTTTTCTCCTTTATCTCTTCTTCCTCTGCCTCCAGCACCTACTCCTTCATCTACCTTCCTCCTACTCCTCTTCTTGCTCCAGTCTTCTGATGTTCCTCACCCCTTTGTCTCCCCCTCCTCTTCCTGCTATTCCATCTTTCACTTCCTCCTTCTCCACTTCTTCTGTCTCTTCCTCTATCTTCTCCTCCTCTTCCTCTTTCCCTTTTTGTTTGTTGTTGTTGTTTTTCGAGACAGGGTTTCTCTGTGGTTTTGGAGCCTGTCCTAGAACTAGCTCTTGTAGACCAGGCTGGTCTCGAACTCACAGAGATCTGCCTGCCTCTGCCTCCCGAGTGCTGGGATTAAAGGTGTGCGCCACCACCACCTTTTATCTCCTCCTCATCTTCCCTGATTCCTTCTCCATTTCCTTCTTCTATTCATCCCAATCTTCCATATCCTCTTCTTCCATCTCTTCCACTATCTCTTCTTCCTTCTCCATCTCCTCCTCTTCCTAGTCTTCCACCTGTATCTCTTCTGATGCCTCCCTTATTCCTCTCCCTCCTCCATCTCCTCCTCTCTGCTTCCTCACTTTATCCTCCTCTTCCTACAGCTACTCCTCATTTTTCCTTTTCTCCTACATATTTTCTTATCTATCTCATCTTCTCCTTCACCACCTCCTCATCTTCACCTACTCCCTTCTTCTTTTTCCTCATCCTCATCTCTCTCTCTGCTCCTATTACATCTCTTAATCCTCTGCTTCCCATTCTCCCACCCCTCTTCCCTTACTCCCTCTTCCATATTCTCCTCTTCCTCCATCATTTCTTTTGTTTCCTCTTCCCTCTCTTCCTTCTCTTATTCCAATACCTCCTCCTCTTCCTTTTTTCCTCCTCTGCTTCCTTTTTCCACCTCATTTCCCTATATCTGCTATTTCTCTTCTTCCTATTTCCCCCTCATCTCTTTATATTCCTCCATTTTCTCCTCCTCTATTCCTCTACTTCTTCTTCCTCTGTCTTTTTCTTTTTCTTCTTTATCCTTTCCTCCTCCATATTCCCCTCTTCCTTCTCTGCTTCTAATCCTTTCTCTTCAACTCTTTCTCTTTATCATCTATTATTTCCTCCCAATCCTTCCTTTCTCTTCTTCCATCCTCTCCTCTCCCTATTCTTACTCTTTGTCTGCCTTCTATTCTTTCTGTTTCTACTCCTCTGTTTCCTTCTCTTCCTCCTTCTCCATGTCCTCTTCTTCTATCCTTTCCCTTTCCTGTCTTCTTGTGTCATCTCTTCTTACTCTTCTCTCATTTCCTCCTTCTACCTCCTTTCTTTTTCTAATTCTCTCCTTGCCCTGACCCCCTTTCTCTTTTATTTCTTCCTCAACATTCTTTCGCCTTCCTCCTTCTCTTCCATCTCCTCCCCCTCTTCCTGCCCCTCATCTTCCTCCATTTTATAATCCTTGTTCTTCTCTTCCTTCATCTCTTCCTTCTCCGTCCGTCCCTCTATCACTTTCTCTTCTTTCTCCCATCTCCTCCCTTTCCCTTTTCTATCTCTTCCTCCTCTCCCTTTTCCTCTTCTCCTTCTGCTCCATCTCCTCTCTAGTTCCATGTCCTCCTCTTCTTCCTCTCCTGTTCCTCTTTCTTTCCCTCATTTCTTCCTCCTTCTCCTTCCTATATCTTCCTGCTCCTCTTCTATCTCCCTCATCTTCCTCATTCTTCTCCATCTCATCCCTTTCCTCCTACTTCCTTCTTCTTCATCTTTTCTTCCTCCTCCCTTTTGTCCATTTCCTTTTTCCTCCTCTTTCTCTATCTTCTCTTCCTCCCTTTCACTACCGTCATCTACTCCTCTTCCTGTTTATCTTCCTCTTCTATCCCTTCCTCCATTTTCTCTTCTAGCACCTTATCCTCTTTATCTCCTCCTCCTTGTCTTCCTCCGTCTCTATGTCCTCCTCTTCCTTCTCTCTCCTGTCTCCTTTCTCCTCTATCTTCCCCCTTACCATTGTCCTATTTCTTCATCTCCTCCTCTTTCATCTCTTCCTTCTCATCCTTCATATCTTTATCTCCTGCTCTTCCTTCTCCTACATCTCTTCTTCCTATCCACCTCTTCCTCCTCCGAAGTCTCCTACCTATACTCATCTCCTTTTCCTCTCTCTCCTCCTTTTACATTTCTTTATTTCTCCATCTCCTCTACTTTCTTCTCCTCCATTTCTTTTCTCCTATCTTTCTCAATTTCCATCTCCTATCTCTTCCTCCTCCTCCATTACCTACTCCTCTCACTTCTCTTGCTTCCTTCTCTATCTTTTCTTTCTCCGGCTCCTTCTCCATCTTCATCTCTGCCATTTCCTTCTCCTCCTCCATTTCCACTTCCTCTACCCCCTCCTCATGACTCCCTTTCTTCCCCATCTCCATCCCTTCCTTCTCCACCTCTTCTTCTTCCACTTTCTGTACTCTGTCCTCTATCTTTACTGTTTCTTCCTCTTCCATGTCTTTTTTAAAATATTTATTTATTTATTATGTATACAATATTCTGTCTGTGTGTATGCCTGCAGGCCAGGAGAGGACACCAGACCTTATTACAGATGGTTGTGAGCCACCATGTGGTTGCTGGGGATTGAACTCAGGACCTTTGGAAGAGCAGGCAATGCTCTTAACTGCTGAGCCATCTCTCCAGCCCCCTCTTCCATGTCCTTTTAACTTCATCTTCTACTGCTCCTCCACCTCCATCTTCTGTCTGCCTCCCTCACACCTTCCATCTCCTTTCTCTCCTTTGTTCACTTTTCTCCTGTCTCTTCTTTTTCGTCCATCTCCTTCTCCTCCACCCCTTTCCTCTTCTCTAATTCCATCATCTCCTCATGCTTGTCCTCCATCTACTTCTCCATTTTCATCTCCATCTTTTCGAATATCCCCTTTCATGCCTTCTTACTCCTACCCCTCATCATCCTACTCTTCAATATGCTCCAGCCTTTCTTCTTTCATCTAATCACCCTGCTCCTCCAACATATCTATCTCCTTTCCTTCCATCACCTTCTCTGTCTACTTCCCCATCTTGCCCTTCTTGACTTCTTCCTTCATATCTTCCTTGCCTTGCTTATCTTCATCTCCTTCATTTCTTTCTTCTCTTCTGACTTCTTTTTCCACCTTCTCTTTCATATCCCATTCCTCTACCTCATCCTGTCCTTTCTTTATCATCCTGTCCTTTCCTTATCTTCACCTCTTCCATCTTTCCCTTGTCTCTTCTTCTCCTCTACCTTCTCTTCCTCCTTCATTTCCTTCTTTCCTCCTGCTCCATCTTCTCCTTCTCCATTTTGTCATCTTTATCATCAACTATCTCTTACTGTTCTCTTCATCTCTTCTTGCTACCCCTTCATCTCTTCCTCTTTCATCTCTCTCTTCAATTTCTTCTCCTTCATATCCTGATCCTCCATATCTTCCTCTTGTATCTCCTCTTTGCTCACCTCCTCCATCTTCCCTATCCTCTATTCCCTCCTCCATATCTTCCTTATTCTCTATTCCCTCCTCCATATCTTCCCTGTCCTCTATTCCCTCCTCCATCTTCCCTATCCTCTATTCCCTCCTCCATATCTTCCCTATTCTCTATTCCCTCCTCCATATCTTCCCTATTCTCTATTCCCTTCTCCATATCTTCCCTATCCTCTTCCCTCCTCCATATCTTCCCCATTCTCTATTTCCTCCTCCATATCTTCCCCATTCTCTATTCCCTCCTCCATATCTTCCCTATCCTCTATTCCTTCCTCCATATCTTCCCTATTCTCTATTCCCTCCTCCATATCTTCCCTATTCTCTATTCCCTCCTCCATCTCCCCTATCCTCTATTCCTTCCTCCATATCTTCCCTATTCTCTATTCCCTCCTCCATATCTTCCTATTCTCTATTTCCCCCTCCATATCTTCCTATTCCTTCTTCTTCTTTTCTCCCATCTTCTTACTTCCTGTTCCTTTACTCTCATTTTCTCTTCCCTCTCATCTATATTCTACTCCTTTTCCTCCTCATCCATCTGTGCATCCACCCACTCCTCCTTCCCCATCCTCTTCCACCTCTTTCCCATCTGCCCTCCACCTTTATTTTTCTCCTCCTTTATTTCCTCTTCTCCCTTCTTTTCCATTTCACTTTTCTCTCTTGTTCTTCTTCCCCCTCTTCTTCATCTTGTCTTCTTTTCTCCTCCCTACTTCTCTTCTTTGCTTCCCCTTTCTCCTTCTACTCTTTTTTCACTTACCCATCCTTCTCCTATCCTTCTTCTTCAGCTTTCTTTCTCCTTTTATGAATTCTCCTCCACTTCCCCTTCATTTTCTTCCCCTTCTATCCTTCTTCCTCCATTGTCTCCCCATTCCTCTTCCACTTTCTGCTCTACCACTTCCACCTTACCTTACTGCTCCCTCTAGTTTTTCCTCTTGCACCCTACTCTTCCTTCTCTTCATCCTGTCTTCCCTTCACTTTCTCCTTTTCCGGCTTTTTCCTCATTCTTCTCCTGTGGTTCCTTCTCCTTTTCTCTGCCCTCTTTCTCCTTTGTCTCTTTCCCCTATATCCTCTCATTCCTTTCCTTTCTTTCCTCTGCCTCTTCAGTTTCCTTTCCTTCTCACCATCTGCATTTCCTAAAGTCTTCCTCTTCCTCCTTCCTCAGCTCTCCTTTCCAGTCCTTCCCCCCCCCCATGATCTACCTCACCTCCCTTCGCCTACTTGTTTTTCCTCCCCTTCTCCTTTCTCCTCATCTCACACTCTTACTCTATCTCCTTTCTCCTCTGCTCTTCTTCTATCTTTTTCTTAAATTATTTATTTATTTATTATGTATACAATATTCTGTCTGTGTGTTTGCCTGTAGGTCAGAAGAGGGCACCAGACCTCATTACAGATGGTTGTGAGCCACCATGTGGTTGCTGGAAATTGAACTCAGGACCTTTGGAAGAGCAAGCAACGCTCTTAACCACTGAGCCATCTCTCCAGCCCCTTCTTCTATCTTTTAATCTTCATTAATCTTCCTCTCACTTCCTATTCTAGTCTTTCTCATCCTAGTAACTCACCATTCCAAATAATTCATCTTCCCCTTTCCTCCTTAACTCCCATCACCTTTCTCGCTCATTCCCCTATTCCTAATCCTTCTTTCTCTACAACCCCTTCCCCATCCTATTTCTATTTCTCTCTCTTATTCCTTGCCCTCATCTTCTTCTGCAAACTCCAATTCTTCCTTGCCATTCTGTTTCTCATGTTCTCCCTTCTACATTCATCACTTTCCCATCTTTCCTGTTCTCTAATGCTCTTCCCCTCTTCCTTATTCCTATCCTTCCCTTCCCTCTTCCTCCTTGTCCCCCCTCCTTTTTATTTTCCTTGTGCTCTTGCCTCACTTCTCCCAGTCTGTCTTCTCTTCAACATTCTCCCTTTTATCTTCTCTTGTCCTGTTCAACTCATCTGTATCATTTCTTAATATTTTCCCTTCCCTCTTTCTTTTTCCTTCATCTAACCCTCTCCTGTCCTACTATTCCCCTATTCTTCCTCTTCCTCTTTATCCTTAATTCAACTTTTTCCTTCTCTTCACCCTCATTTCCTCCTTTCTGCTCCTCCCTACTTCTAATACCCTCTTTTACCCTTTCTTTTATTCCTATATGTATTTCCCTATGGTCTTCCCACATCCTCTACCTCCTCCTCTTTCCTCCCTCGTCCTTCGGTTCCCTTTACAGGGTCTCATTCAGTATCTCCTCCTGCTCTTCCTTCTCTCCGGCATCTCCTATTGTTCATGCTTCTGTTTCTCCTAATTATTTCTACTACATCTCTATCCATTCCTATTTTTCTTCCCCTTCCTCTGTCTACTCAGTCCCCTCTTCTTCCTCCCCCTCCTCTTTCCTCTATCCCATCCTCTTCCCCTCCTCTTTCCTCTATCCCATCCTCTTCCCCTCCTCTTTCCTCTATCCCATCCTCTTCCCCTCCTCTTTCCTCTATCCCATCCTCTTCCCCTCCTCTTTCCTCTATCCCATCCTCTTCCCCTCCTCTTTCCTCTATCCCATCCTCTTCCCCTCCTCTTTCCTCTATCCCATCCTCTTCCCCTCCTCTTTCCTCTATCCCATCCTCTTCCCCTCCTCTTTCCTCTATCCCATCCTCTTCCCCTCCTCTTTCCTCTATCCCATCCTCTTCCCCTCCTCTTTCCTCTATCCCATCCTCTTCCCCTCCTCTTTCCTCTATCCCATCCTCTTCCCCTCCTTTCCTCTATCCCATCCTCTCCCCTCCTCTTTCCTCTATCCCATCCTCTTCCCCTCCTCTTTCCTCTACCCCATCCTCTCCCCCTCCTCTTTCCTCTATCCCATCCTCTTCCCCTCCTCTTTCCTCTATCCCATCCTCTTCCCCTCCTCTTTCCTCTACCCCATCCTCTCCCCCTCCCCTTCTTTCATACCCCTCTCCTTTCTTTCCCACTTCCATCTACTCAACCTCTTCTATCCCCTTCTCTTACATTTCCTCTCCTCCTTCCCCCCTGCAACTACTTTATCCCTTCCTTCTGCTCCTCCCCACTTCCATCCACTCTACTCCCTACTCTTCATCCAACCCCTCCTCTATCTGCTCTATTCCCTCGCCTTCCTATTTCCCATCTCCTCTACCCCTTCACCTAGTATATCACCTCTATAGCCCCTTCTTCCTTTCCTCTAACTCCTCTAATCCCTCTTCTGCTCTGCCTTTGTTCTCCATCCCTTTTTACTTCCTCCCCCTTTATCTCAACTATCCCTTTTGTCTCCCTCCTCCAACTGCTCTATCCTCCTGTCTACCTTCTTTATCTCCTCCATCTGTATCCCTCCTCTTCCTTTGTTCCATTTCCTCCTATGCTTCCTCTCCTTTTCTGCTTCCCCCTTTATCTTCTCCATCCTCTCTTCCTTCCTCCATCTCATCTATTCCTCTCCATTTTCCCTCAATTTCTGCTATCCCTTTGACTATCTTCTTTCCTCAATCTCATGTCTCATTCTCTTCCTCCTTTCCCTCCTCTCTCTTCTGTCATCCTCCCTCCATCTTCCCCTCCTCTACCTCCCTCCTGTCCCCTTCTCCTTCCTCTCCTCCAGCTCCTGCATCCTCTCTCTTCTTCCTTCCCCTCCTTTATCTTCTCTATTCCTCTCTCTTCCTCCCTCCCTTCTCTACCTCCTCCTTCTATGGCACCCTCCTCCATTTCCTGTTTCCTTCTCTTCCTCCTCCCTGTTCCCACCCAACATTTTCCTCCTTAGCCTTGTCCTCATTTTCTTTCTCCTGTTCCTCATCCCTAGCCTTCCTCCACGCTCTCCTCTTCCTCCACACTCTCCTCTTCTTCCATGCTCTCTTCTTCCTCCACACTCCCCTCTTCCTCCACTCTCTCCTCTTCCTCCAGCTCCTTTGTGACTCTAGTCCTCCCTCCTGTTGGCTCCTTCCTCCTCCTCTCACACTTCATCCTCTTCATTCTGCCTTTCCCTTTCCCCCTCCTCTTCCTCCCTGCTCTTTTGTTTCTAATGTCTCCTATTTCC